TATATATATATGTATGTATATATATACATATATGTATATATATACATGTATATACATATATATATATGTATATATATATATATGTATATATATATATATATATATAGTTGCAATTAATATAGCATATAGTTGCAATTTATATTAATTGCAACTATTTGTTTCTAGCTGTACCTATTGTGTAATGGAGTGTATCTGGTGGTATCTGTTCAACCATGAAGCCTCCGTGGTCTAATGGTTATGATGAGAAGTCGCAGGTTCGGGTCCCGCCAGAGGCATTTTATTACACAATTTCCTTATTCATTTCGTCGCAACTTTCGTTGAGAATTATGCTACACGATGCTTTAATATGCTATTCGAACACTGTATTTACCTTTCTATGATGATTTATACACACACACACACACACATATACATGTATATATATATATGTCGCAAAGATAAAGAGAATCACTGGGAACTTTTACTTAAAACAACCACACCATTTGGACTCAATATTAGGAACGTTCTCCCAGTACACTAAATTAAACCAATGGCATTTCAATTTATTCCTTATAAATCATTTGGCTTATTTATTGAGGCTTGCCTCTAAAGTTTACTTGTTTAGGCTGTTTATTGTAATCTCACACAACCTATTGCTTTCAATCATGCTTGTATGAAATTCTCACTTTATACCATCTAGCTTTTTCTACCCTCACTCACTCGCCACTGAGGAAGGACTAGTGTTGCCCGAAAGCTCTGGTTCTATTTCTGGCTGTTTACTTACGTTTACTTTTTAGCTGTTGCTTAGGCCTATCATTTTTGTATCTCTACTGAGATCCAGCCATTGTTTTTCACAGCATTGTTGTTTTTCAGTATTTTGCCTTTTAATTTATATATATATATATATATATATATGTGTGTGTGTGTGTGTGTGTGTGTGTGTGTGTGTGTGTGTGTGTGTGTGTGGGTGTGTGTGTGTGTGTGTATGTGCTTCGCAGCAAACATAATTTGAGTATTATCTACTATGGTTTCCACGCTGCGACTATAAGTTTTTCTGGCTTATCTATAATAGCTCCATGTGTGAGTGTTTCAGTCTGTTTGAGAGAGAAAGTGCCTGTGTGTTAAATCTGCACGATAGGTCTGATCCGTGGTCTAACATTAACTGCCTTAGCAACTGCTTCCCTATGAACAATACATAATTTTGCAATAGGTCGCTTCAGGATGTTATTGTTCACCTTCACGTCGACACTTCTAACTTTACCATCACTACTGGTTCGCACCGCAAGCACTCTGCCCATTGGCCATTTCCCACGGGGAGTTGTTTCATCGACGAGGAGGACTTAGCGAGAGATTATTGGTTCGATTCCCACCAGAAACCTCTTTTTTTTCATAGAACTAAGTAAAGAATTTTCGTTGATGAACTGTTTTATATTATTTTTATACCTCCTTGCTTAAGGCAACTCCAAATGGCCGGAAATTGCACTCTCACACAATTTGAATATCATTACTTTTTTCCCCATTTTCTTTCCTTCAAGGGACGTTTTCTTTGTGGACTATATATTTCTTGCTCTGACATTCGCCATGGCGAAAAGCGCGAAGATCTAAATCTGCGCCTGCTGTATCAAGATGATGATTTCCAAGCGAGAATAAAGATGATTTTAGTGAAACCTAGAAGATGAGTTGTACGCGGTGATCGGAATTATTGACATTGACTCGAAAAATTAAGGTTTATATAGAAGATTCTAAGAAATGCTAAATAAAACTGT